ACGAAACAATTTAGTAGATATTAATCTTTCTTTCAACTTTCAGGATTTTTCAAATTAAATTATTACATTACATACTTCGTTGAATATGAGTTAGTGTGCTCTTGACTAGTTCACTATCATCTATTCAATTATTATTACATTTCATATTTTGTAAAAATGTTATTTTTAGAATACTTGTTCATAGTCGAAAAGCAATTTCTAGAATCTCTGTTTACACATTTTCATTTGCAAATAATAAAAGAACTACTAAAAGCCTAGAAACTAATATATCCTACATTATGTTAAGGGTATAGACGTATAGTTAGAGTTGAGAAAAAATTTCATATCATAATTATAATATTAACTATATCATATAAAAGGTATAATAAGTAATTATAATTATGATTTTGAGCCAAACAACTTAGTATTCCTTTCTACATCTATAACTTTGTTTATCAAATTATTATGTAAAAAAATTAGGAATTCCATAGTGTAAGGAGCAAATTACATATTTCTATCCCTACCTTTTTTCAATTTACAAAAATTTCCTAAAATTAGTTTCATTTGGATACATAAGACGGATACAATACATCTAATACATTAAAAAAAAATCAGTTACGATTTAAAAGGAAAGGAAATGTAAAACTGAAGGTGATTGATTTCCCCAAATTACGTAAATCAAGTTAATGTCGATCTCGACCAAATCGTAACAACTTCAAAAAAAATCAAATTTTGTTCTCTCAAATCTCTCCCAGATCGTAACAAATTAAAAAAAAGTCAAAAATAGTAGCTGATACATGATGAATATCTCTATTTTATTGAGACGTTCTGGAAAGTGAGTGAGTTATAAACAATACAAAAGTGATGGAATAGTTGTTGGACAAATAATTTCTTTTGTGAATCTCTCAGTTCATCGAAGATCTTTTTTATTTTGATTCAAAATTGATGAAAATTTTGACATTAAAAATTCTTCTCCCAGTTCATCATTCTTCTCCCGATTCATCGAAGATCCTTTAAATTTTGATTCAAAATTGTCAGAAAATTTGAGATTCAAAATACTTCTCCAAGTTTATCAAAGATCCTTTCAATTTTGATTCAAAATTATCAAAAACTTTGAGAAGATACATCATAAATATCTTCATTATTAGCCTTATGACTGTCACGACCCGATTCCTCAAGTCATGATGGCACCTACTATAACCCACCAGTAGGTAAGCCAACCCGTAACCTGGAACAACCAGTAATGGGTCTGAGGGTAGAACTAAACAAGAGTAGGAAATTAACAATATAAACAGGCGAAATCAAACCAAAAGCGTATATACAAATAAAGATCCCTCCCAGAACCTGGAAGTCACTAGTACAGAGCTACTACAAAATGAGTACAAGTCCTAAAACCGGACAACAGAGACTGGACTGTCTCGAAAGGAAAAAGACAAGTCTATATATACAGATGGAGACTGAAATAGTACAAAACGCCATGTGCTCACCCCCGTCTCCGGATAAGTCTACTCCACACTAGATCAACGCTGGCTACTAGTGCTCGGACCTGCATCACAAAATAGATGCAGAGCGTAGCATGAGTACCAAAACAACAGGTACCCAGTAGGCATCATCGGCCGACTGAGCAAGATAAGCAAAAGTAAACTGAAATGCAAATAAAGGGTCACATCAAGGCAAAAGAGTAGTAAATGGGGGTATGTACACGAGCGTACAGGCAACAAAGACAAGCAATCTAACTAACTCCGCCGGGCTCCCATAAACCCGACGGGTACGCTCGTGCACAATAAAAGAAACCACCTGCACGGACCCCCATAAGCCCGGCAGATGGACCGGCAGTTGAAGTAAAATAATGGAGCTAGAAGGTCTATCACAATATTACCAATTTCCGGACTTTTAACTGAACCATTCCCAATCATATTCCAAGATCTCATTACGTCCCGGACTTTAACCGGAATCTCTTCAACCTCCAAAACCTCAACCTACAGATGAGAGTAATCAAGACTAAACTGAAGCTTTAGTGAGGAATTGGGAATACACCACGTGCAAGCTGGACCACGGACTCGAACCGGGTACTATAGCTAATGAGTCAACCTATATGGGCTGGACCACGGACTCGAACCGGGTACTATAGCTAATGAGTCAACCTATATGGGCTGGACCACGGACTCGAACCGGGTACTATAGCTAATGAGTCAACCTATATGGGCTGGACCACGGACTCGAACCGGGTACTATAGCTAATGAGTCAACCTATATGGGCTGGACCACGGACTCGAACCGGGTACTATAGCTAATGAGTCAACCTATATGGGCTGGACCACGGACTCGAACCGGGTACTATAGCTAATGAGTCAACCTATATGGGCTGGACCACGGACTCGAACCGGGTACTATAGCTAATGAGTCAACCTATATGGGCTGGACCACGGACTCGAACCGGGTGCTGTAGCCAAAGGTCGGGCACGGGTGGGCTGGACCACGGACTCTAACCGGGTACTGTAGCTAAGCCTGGACATAAGTAAGCTGGACCACGGACTCTAACCGGGTACTGTAGCTAAGCCTGGACATAAGTAAGCTGGACCACGGACTCTAACCGGGTACTGTAGCTAAAACCAGATCACAGGTAAGCTGGACCACGGACTCTAACCGGGTACTGTAGCTAAGCCTGGACATAAGTAAGCTGGACCACGGACTCTAACCGGGTACTGTAGCTAAGCCTGGACATAAGTAAGCTGGACCACGGACTCTAACCGGGTACTGTAGCTAAGCCTGGACATAAGTAAGCTGGACCACGGACTCTAACCGGGTACTGTAGCTAAGCCTGGAGATAAGTAAGCTGGACCACGGACTCTAACCGGGTACTGTAGCTAAGCCTGGAGATAAGTAAGCTGGACCACGGACTCTAACCGGGTACTGTAGCTAAGCCTGGACATAAGTAAGCTGGACCACGGACTCTAACCGGGTACTGTAGCTAAGCCTGGACATAAGTAAGCTGGACCACGGACTCTAACCGGGTACTGTAGCTAAGCCTGGACATAAGTAAGCTGGACCACGGACTCTAACCGGGTACTGTAGCTAAGCCTGGACATAAGTAAGCTGGACCACGGACTCTAACCGGGTACTGTAGCTAAGCCTGGACATAAGTAAGCTGGACCACGGACTCTAACCGGGTACTGTAGCTAAGCCTGGACATAAGTAAGCTGGACCACGGACTCTAACCGGGTACTGTAGCTAAAACCAGATCACAGGTAAGCTGGACCACGGACTCTAACCGGGTACTGTAGCCAAAACCAGATCACAGGTAAGCTGGACCACGGACTCTAACCGGGTGCTGTAGCTAAGAATCAATATCCAACCATACGTCGCGGGAAATATCACCAAACCGATTACCATAAATAATCATTTCAGTCCGATCCTCATATACCCCAAGTCGCCGAGGAAGTATCCAATAATGAGTAAGCTAGACCACAGACTTTAACCTGGTACTGTAGCCGATAGAAAATCAGGGCATTATGGATACAAGGTCATAAGCTGAGTTACCGCCTAGCTAAGGCTCAGACTATCAGACTCAAGTCTGCTATATCAGTCTACAAGGAGCTGAGCGTCCGAAACGACGTCGGAACAAGTTCTACTGCCCAACGACATCCGAAAT